GGTTGTATGAGATTGTAGAAGAGGTGGAAGAGTTGCTTAATAAACTCCATGATGATATTGTAGATAAGTTGAAAAATGCTAATGTTGAATTTACGGATGAAGGTAATGTTGGATTGAAGGAATGTAATGTTAGAGTTGAACAAGCCAATTTTGGGTTGGAGGAAGGTAATGTTAGAGTTGAACAAGCCATTGTTGAAGTTGAACAAGGTAATGTTGGAGTGGAGGAAGGTAATGATGGATTTGAACATGCCAATGTTGGAGTGTAGGAAGGTAATGTTGGAGTTGAACAAGCCAATGTTAGAGTGGAGAAAAATGATGGTGGAGTGCATGATGAGTTAAGTTCTTATGATACTGAAGATGAAAACTACAATTATGATAGTGCTCTTGAAGTGGCTTTTTAGGATGAGTGTGATGGGTATGATGACATTGGGTATGAAAGTGAGGGTAATGTAAAAGGCAGTAAATTGAAAGAAAAGTGTGAAGAAGATAAAGGGAGTGATGATTATAGTGAGGATATGCAAAGTGGATGTGATAGTGATAGTGATGAGTGATTAGATTCTTTCACTTAGTTGAAAAGTAGTTTTAATTGGAAAATTAGACTTTAAAGGGTTCTCGGCTTTCGCTCAAACAACCGGATCTTAAACTTATAAATGCGTCCGAAAATAGTTTTAAAACCACTTTCTAAAAATATCAAACTTTCCTAATTAATTAATAAATTGCTTTCGCGGTGTTTATTAATAAAAAAAATTAACAATTTTAATCTTAGGTACCAGACGAATTTTGATCTTACCCGGTGTACTTATGGTTCTACTTTCGTTGCAACCAACCAAATTAAAATTTGAAATAAAATCAAAACAGCCCCATAAGCATTTCTAAAGGAACAACAGTCAGAGTACCATCGAATCGATGATCCTCATATTCCAGCACTATTAAATTATCCAGACATGGTTATAATAAACAATAAAGTATTAGACTTAAGATTAGAACTAGGATTGATAGGAAAAACAATTAAAACTTAGAACATGCAATTGATAGATCAAACTTTAAAATTAAAGTAAAGTAAAAAACATTCATATAAATAAATAAATGATATAATTAAAGCCATACTATTAATAAAAACCTTCTCCGAAGGAGTCTTGAATCTGGTACAAAGTAAGGCAACATAATACTTGAAAAGAAAGACCAATGCCGACAAGATTAAACTTCTACGAAGTAATTGTTGCAAACTCAATACAAACTTAATACAAGAAAAATGCAATAAATCCATGATGTGAAGAGTTAAAGCTTTCAAGTGGTAAATTTATGGCTTAAGTTGTGCTAAGTTTGGATAAGTTGAAACTGAATACTAGGTCCTTTATATAGTGAAAACTGGTGGAAGTTACTTCAAAATTCATGTGAGGAGTAGTGGGGATGAATTAGGGAAGTGGGAGAAGTAGTGGAGTTAACGGGAAGTTGGAGAAGTAGTAGAGATAATGGGAAGTTAGATAAGTAGTAGAGATAATGGGAAATTGGAGAAGTAGTGGAGATGATGGGAAGTTGGAGAAAGGAGTTCCAATTTTGTTGCTATTTTTCAGGATTCAGACTGCATGGCATTCGCAATGCAGTGTGGCGGTCACCACACAGTGTAAGACTCAGTCATGGATGGGATATAAGACATGGCAAACGCCATAGGGGTGGTGGTGAAAGCCACACCCTTTTGACTCATGCACGTTTGTTCATCTTCCTTTTCTTGCGGGCTTCATATGGTCCACGTCACAACAGGTATTATGGTGAACGCTACAGAGCCACCCATATAGTGTAAAATCTCCATTTTCTTCCATTTCAGGCCGTTTTTATTTATTTCTTCATATAATGACTTCAATCTATAAAGCACCTAAACACAAGCACAAAATACTCATATAACATTACAAGTGGTGATAAAATGACATAAAAAATGAAAATCGAGTAGAATACGTAGTGTGTTTTGGTGTTATCAATGATAACACTGGAGTTCCAAGAAAGAAGTACCCAATTTTTAAGCTGCAAAAAGACATGTCAAATTACAAGTGGGAGGTGGGAATGTTTTTAAGTTCAAAGGTTGATTTTAAGGAAGCAATAACATCCTATGTTATGCAAAATAATAGAGACCTTAGGTTCATACAAGATGACAAAGTTAGGGAAAGGGTTAGATGTTAAGTTGGTTGTGAGTGGGAAGCTTATTGTAGCAAGATGATAAATGAAGGCTCTTGGCAACTAAGGACAATAACTTACAAATACATTTGTAGAAGAGAGTATAATGTGAAGTTGATGAGTACAAAGTGGTTGAGCAAGAGAATTCAGAATAGCTTGAAAAATAATCCTAGGATAACCATAAGGATATAAGGAAAAGGCACATAAAAAGTGGAATGTAGGGGTCAACAAGACTAAAGCAATAAGATCAAGATTTGCAATTATTTTAGAAGGCTTTACATATGCTATGCAGCCTGTAAGGAGAGCTTCAAGTTGTGCAGACATGTAATTAGGCTTGATGGGTGCTTTTTAAAAGGTCTTTGTGGAGGGATAATTTTGTATGCCATAGGCAGGGCTCCTAATGACCATATGCTTCCAATAGCATTTACAGTTGTGGACGATGAAAATAAGGATAGTTGGAATTGGTTTTTAGAGCTTTTGATTGATGACCTTGGAGGTAAGGATGAATGTCTCTCATACACTTTCATCTCAGATCAACAAAAGGTAAATATGCATTTATTTTTCTGTTTTGTAAACATAGTGATTTATGCTTAATTTATTGTTTTTGTTTTGTAAACATAGTGTGTTATGCTTTTACTTTTGTGTTGCAGGGTCTGATACCTGCTATGGATGACCTCTTACCAAGTGTTGGGCCAATATTTTGTGTTAGACATCTTTATAACAATTTTAGGAAGAGGTATCCTGGAAAGATGTTGAAGGACATCATATGGAAGACTGCCAAATCAACATACTCACAAGAAAGGAAAGAGAGATGAGGGGAACGAGGGCTATCAATGAAGAAGCATATAAACATATGATGAAGACCCCACCAAGATTTTGGAGTAGATATTATTTTAAAAGCCAAACAAGTTTGATGTTATTTTCAACAACATTTTTGTAAATGGATCAAACTTGTGGGTTAAGACACCATATCCAAATTTGCAACCACTCAAGTATAGGAAGATGCTTGATAGACCAAAGAAGATGAGGAATCTTGAACAATGAGATATTGATGGGTCTGATTGAAAAATGAGAAGAACATGTTTCATTGTGAAGTGTAGTAGGTGCAAGAAAGCAGGACACAACAAGTCTACTTGTAAGGACACAACAACTCAGATTACTCAACAACCAACATGTGCTTCTCAACAATTAGCTCAAGTTTTTCAACAGCCAACACAGGCTTCTCAACCATCAATTTAAGGTTCTCAACATCCAACATAGGTTTCTCACCCATCAGTTTAAGTTCCTCAACATACTCAACCATCTCAACATACTCAACATACTTAACCATCAGTTCAAGTTTTAGACATGTTGTCATGTGTATTTTGGATATCAGTTCATGTGTGTTTTGAAATTTTAGAAATGTTGTTATGCTGTCATGTGTATTTTGGAATTTTAGAAATGATATTAGTCTATGTTGTTATGTATTATGGAACGTATTGTCTTATGAAACATATTGTCTTATGGAATCAGTTTATGTCACCAGTTTATGGAATGTTGTTATGTATTATAGAACATATTTTTTTATTGAACATATTATGTCAAACATTATGTAACTGGTATGCCAAAGACACATACATGTCAGGCCCATTATTGCAAATAGGTCATGCAAAAAATTATAACTTAACATTCAACTGATACAAATAATTCATGCCAAACTTTAAGTATGTCAAACAAGTTATGTCAAACAATTCATGCCAAAATTTTCAATTAAGATCAACTGATACAAATTTTTCTACACATTCAAACAATACAAACTTTAACATTCAACTAGTACAAACTTTAAGAGATCAATTGTTATAGATAAAATTAAGGGGTCCATCATAATACTAAAGGTAGAGAAAAACACAAGAAATGGGGGGTTTGAATTGAGTTTTCAAAACTTTTCTCTTTTAAAAACTATTTGATAAAACTATGAAAGAATATAGAATGCTAGAGATATTAATAGACACATTCAATTCATCCAAGTTCACCATTAACTAGGCTACATCTTGTCCAACCTCCTCAGGTGATTTTTCCTTCAACAAAGAATTAATCCACTATAATCAAATCTGATTACAATTCACAACAATAAGTCTGACCAACCTTGTCGACAACCCCAACAAGTTCAACTGATCCTTATTGCCAATTCTGCACAGACCGCAGCTGATGCCTTCTTGAGAATTCTGACTCAACCGAGTCTCTCAAGGAACAATAAAATGATATATTCAGTGATCTCCACAAGATATAATGATCATTTACCCTTTAAGAAATCTTACCAGCCTAGTCTTTCTTAACAGGATTTCATCCAAGATGGCAGCATCCATAGTCTTCCTAAGTATTAGATCTTCACTAGATCACTTGAGGCAACACCAATTATGAACATAATTGTTTTTCTGGAAGTTACATGAGTGCTTCTTAACAAACAGATTAATCCTAATTTAAGTACATACTATTTTACATAATTCTGAGCGACAACTCTTGTGTTCAAACAATATACATGAAGAACTTAAGCTATAACACAATATGAGCAATAACTATTGTGTTTACATGATTCTACAAAGATGCATATAATATAAGTTTGAGTGCAGCATCTTACAGTCTTCTTATCTTCATCTTCTTTGTTGAGCAAGTTATGAGAAATAACTTCTTACTTCTTCATATTTCTACCAAGATGTTTTTGTTGAAAATAAACTTATATAACCATGCTAATAAACTTTAAACCAAACAAAAAAATATATAAATATTGTTGTATATAATGATGAGTTCTCAGATCTTCAAAGTACAACATTTATTATGATGTAAAATATATTTTACATTAAGAATTTTGGATTCCAAGGATGGCAAAAAGGTTGAGTCGAGTATACAATAGTCACACATGGTCCGGATTCTTTTATAGACCAATTGAAATCATCACCTGCCTGAACATCTCTTGTTTGTTTGTATATATCAAACCGATAAAGTTCATTATTCCATTGAAATGAACAATAGAATAATGTTCCTCCAAAAAATTTACGTTTAAACTGAAAACTAAAACTTTCATTAGGATGAAGAAGATGCACACCCAAATCATCATCTTCAGATTTGCAATGAATGGTTAAATCCAATTTATTTGTTAAAGAGTTTGTAATTTTCACATGCACTTTTCCAAGCACATTGTTCACTGATAGAACCGCCAACACACATAGCAATAGAAATTTTTTGGTTACCGGAGACATCTTTCTGTTTAAAAGTGAATATTTTTATCACATGAAAGTTACAATAATTTTTAAAATGAGAAACAAATATTTATAGGAGATTTTTAGAAAAAAGTGAATATGTAAAAATTACAATGATTTTTAAACAAGAAACAACAATATTTACAGGAGATTTTTAGGGGGAAAAAACCAAGCATTAAATATATCAAATATTTAATATTTTATCAAGAATCAAAATAATTCCAAAGAAAGAAAAAAATTAAAATTATATATTTAAAGATATTGATTAATAATCTTTGTTTAAGTTTTAATTATAGAAATTGGAGTGACAGTTATTAAACAATAATAAATTATAAGAGCTTTAAATATTTATTTAATTGAAATTTTATTGATCTTTAATATAAGGAAAATATTTTTAGGTAACAATTAATGTATTTACACTATATATAATCTAAATACATCAATTCTTCAATGAGATTTTTTTATATATTAAGAATTATATGGAGTATTTACAGTTACCATATTCTTTATTTAGTACAATTTAATTAATACCATAAAAACTGATTATTTTATATAGGGTTACTATATTCCTTATAAAAAAACCAACAAAAAAAAAACTGATATGAAAAAACCTAGTTTTGTAAAAACCAATAATTATCAATTATAGCTTAGTTAAATTATTTTTATTTTTATCTTTGTTAGAAAAACTGTTTTATGCAATTTTCCAATTTAATTATTTGTTTATATAGTGATTTTACTTATTGATTTTTTTTTTTTTGAATTACGGTCTCTTTTGACATGACAAATTAAAAAAAAAAAACATTTACAAAGAATATAATGATGCATGGTCCTTATTTTTTAACAGAGTGGTGCTATGTATCAAAGTAATATAAGTTAGACGAAATTCTAGAATGTTTTGATATTTTTTCTATCACTAATTAACATAAAACATCATTTGCTACTTTTAGTAGTTTCCTTTTTTACGATCATTACTTTATATTAGATAATTAATATGGAAATGTAGAAACTTAAAAGGTAAAACTAATTAATTAATCAAATTTTCGTATATTTTAGTTTCTGCTTATGTGGCAACACTATTATTTTCTTTCAACATTGAATCTTACGATAGAATTATGCTTACGTGACATTTCTATCTTCACCCATTCTTAAATTCTTTTATCATTTTTATTTATTTTTTAATTATCTATTTAATAATTAAATAAATAAATAACAAATAAATACATTTATACAATATATTTTTATAAAATCTATTTATAATTTTCTTAAATAAAAAAGATCAAAGCTCTGCAAATCCTAACTCAAATTGCAAATCGCAACATTCATGTGTTTTTTCTTTTTATAAGAAATAAGTAATGGCGTACTTAATATATATATATATATATATATATATATATATATATATATATATATATATATATATATATATATATATATATATATATATATATATATATATATATATATATATATATATATATATATATATATATATATATATATATATATATATATATATATATATATATATATAAAATAAAATATCAATCGCTTACTTTATAATAGATAATTAAAATGGAAGTGTAGAAATTTAAAAGGTAAAACTAATTGATTAATCAGATTCTAATATATTTTAGTTTATGTTTATGTGACAACACTATCATTTATTCTTTCAACATAAGATAGAATTATGCTTACGTGACATCTATATCTTCACCTATTTATCATTTTTATTTATTTATTTATTTATTATTATCTATTAATAATAAAATAAACAAAAAACAATTAAATTGGTTTATATGATATAAATATATATTATTTTAGAATAAAATATCATTCACTGCTTTTAGCAATTTATATTAGAAATGTTTTTTTAGCACTAATCATATTTAAAAAAAAATACACAAATAACTATGTTTTAGAGAAAATTACATAAATAACCATGTTATCGAAGAAAATTACGCAAATAGTTATGTTTTCAAAAAAAATGACTTAAAGAGGAGGCGCCAATTCAATTGGCGCCTCCTATATATTTTTCAAACTTTTTCAGTTACATGTGGATTTTCCAGTAGACTTGACATTACCTGCATACTTAACTGTAAATTTTCCTATGAAATTACTCATGGAAAACTTGTTTGCGGGTAAATCCGTAAGAAAAGTCAAATCTGCAGGAAAATCCGTAGGTAAGTAGAAAAATTTTGAAAAAAAATAAGGAGATGGCTAGGCGCCAAGTGAAAATCAATGCATGCGTCATCTGAGATGGCCACTGCATATAACGCTTTCTGAAACATGGTCATTTGCGTAAATTTCTCTGAAATATGAATATTTGTATGTATTTTTTCAAAACATGATTATTGCCAAAAAAAATTCTTATATTAGATAATTAATATGAAAGTGTAGATATTTAAAAGGTAAAACTAATTTCAGATTCTCATATATTATAGTTTATGCTTATTTGGCAACACTATCATTTTCTTTCAATACTAAATCTTATGACAGAATTATACTTACATGACATCTCATTTTTCTGTTTTTTTTTTGTCAACAATTTAATGAGTTAAATTCACTTTTTTTTGGAGAAAGATAAAAATATATTAATTCAAAAACAGTTTTTACAAGCCGATCACTAGATCCAAGCCGCTCGCAGACAAAGAAGTCTAAAGAGAGATACAAACAGAAAAACAAAAACTCAGTCCCACTGCTTTCTCTTATACTTTGCTATACAAATATTAATTATATTAGTGATGTCCCCATATTTAAGCTCCTCTTTGGTTTTACTTCGAAAGATAATGAGATTACTCCAGTTTATCTCCTCTTAGCATTTGGTACATCCCTCTGGTATTGTAATTGCCTTTATCATTGAAATTCTTCCAATTATTTGAGTTCATCAAAATCTCTTTATTCTTGAAGATTTCCTTCAAGCTCCAAGAACTATGGATGAGGGGTTGATAATCTGCATAACTGGTCCATTTCCTATAGAAATGATGGATCCAATTAATCCATAACTTATCCTTCTTAGCATTCAAATTCCAGAGCTTTTTACTTATTGTAGCTTGACTCCACTCCACAAGAGAAATCATATTGAGGCCACCAGCAACTTTGGGATTACAAATCTGATCCCAAGCGACAGGAGCCTTCTTTGTTTTAAAGTTACTGCCAAACCACATAAATATCCTATAGATGGCCTCAATATGGTGGAGAACTTTTTTGGGGAGAGAAAATATTTGTATCCAATAATTGGTTATGGCAAATAACACACTCTTTATAAGCAGAAATCTACCAGCATAAGAGAGGAGCCTTGTACTCCAATGGTTAATTCTGTAGAGCATCTGATCAATAAGGGCTTACAATTCAACACAATGAGATTTTTTCTATCAAGGGGAACTCCCAGGTACTTGACAGGAAGGACACTTCTATCAAAGTCACTTTCCTATTGGACACTCTTGATATTGTCCTCATTTATACCTGCACAAAACACCTTGCTCTTCTGAATGCTAATATTAAGCCTGGTAATAGAGGAGACATCCTTAATTTTATGCATGATGATTTTGATCGAATCAACGTCATCCCTAGAAAATAATAAGATGTCATTAGTGTAGCAACTAGTTTTAAATACAGAGCCGCCACTATTAGTTTTTATCCTAGGGAAGGGAATCTAACAGAAAACCCTAATTCGCAGACAAAGATTCTAGGTTTCAGACTTCTTTAGACGAAAGGAAGGTGTTAGACACCTTTTCATCTACCGTGTTCACAAAGATACTAGGTTTTAGGTTTGAGTTGGGGAAACAAGATTTAAATCTTATTAGGGGAACTCGCCACGGTTTTTGGTCGTATGCCTATGTATCCTCTTATGAGGAATCAGAGTCTCAATTTGTAGTTCGTATGGGTTGGTGTTTTTTAGGGGTTGCAAACGTATTTTGAATCACCTCACATTTTGGCCGGGAGTATTGATTGCCGAGATCTTGACTAAATGCACGGTAAGTCAAAATCTGTTTGAAACCCTTTTGCAAAAAACAGTTGATTAGCTTAGTTGATTGCGAAAAAATAGTTTATTATTTGTTGCGTGTTTTTTAATCGTATTAACTGCAAAAAAACTCTTGTTAATGCATGATTAAAAATACATTTATGCAAATATTGAAAATACGTGTACATGAGTTTGTTAGGAAAAATAATTTATTTACATGATAATATAATAAATAATAATATAGTAATAAAAATTAATATTAATAATAATAATTAATTATAAAAAGAAATAAATAATATTAAATATAATAAGAATATAAAAAATAGATAATAATATAATAATTAGAAAATAGAATTAACATATAATTATATAAATAAAAAATGTAGAAAAATAGATTTAATTCCTGGAGGGGGTGTAGTTCTAATTGATAAGTAAAATGAGGGGGTGCTAAAAAGTAAAGATGGGCTGGCCCAATGCGCAGGGGGGTGCAATTTGTTTAGTGTCTTAGTAAAATAGGGAATGGGGCGTACTAACATCAACTGGGCTTGGCCCATTAAGAAAATTGTGAGGGGCTGGTTAGTTACATGAGGCGAGGTGCATGGAAGTTACAGTGGACTCGGCCTCTTGGCCATCCACCGAGTATCTAATGGATGATCAGTGAAGGAGCGTGATAATTATGATGTATGTGCATGTATGGAATCGAAACATAATATAAGTGTTATTTTTTTATTATTCATTCTTCTTATTTACAGCACCCTTCGTTCTCTCTCCTTCTTCCTCTTACAACCCTTTCTCTTTTCTTTGGTAACCCTAAACCTAAAACCACGGCACGACGACGCTACCTCCCCCCGAATCCCACGAGCCAATACAAGAACAAACAAAAATAAGATGAGCTGAGTGCTTTTACCCTCGTGTGATTTCTGTATTCTAGATCTCGAGTTTCTATTTTCTAAGCCCTTTTTTTCTTCAGTTTGCAGATTTCGGTGACAGTAGCGGGAAAAGGTTGGGCGGCGGCGATGCTCACACGATTAGGGTTTCA